TCTAGCTGGCCAATCCCAACTTGCCAGCATGTGAGTGAGTCATCTTGGAAGTGGATTCTCCAGCCTCATTCAGACTATCTTAGCTGATGTCACAGAAAGCAGAGACAAATTGATTCCACAAAACCCTAAGTTGCAACATCAGTTAGCCAATAAAGGATTTTTATTGTTTTAAGTCACTAGGTTTGGGGATGTTTTACATATCAATAAATAACCAAAACAGATAGAAATAGAACAATCATATCAACAGTTGCCTTGCGGAAGAGGTAGGATCAATTGTAAAACACAGGTGGATTTTCAGGAATAATGGAAATGTCCTATATCTTGACTGGGGTAGCAGTTATAAGGATATATACATTTATCAAATTTTTTGAACCATAGACTTGAAATCTACAAATTATAATGTATTTATTTTATACCTAATGAAGTTATATAAAAAAAAACTTTAAAAAACAACAACAACAACAAAATAACTTTGGTGACTCTATTAACTAGAATATAAGACAGATCCTCAGCTTGCTTGGAGACTCTTCACAAGGGAGCCCCAGCCTGAATTTCCAGTATATTCCCTTCCCACCCTTTACACTAAAGTTAAACAAAATGATTTGCGTTCCATATGGGCCCAGGCTTCTTTGGGTTGTTCTGTCTTCCTGGCTCATCACTCCTGATCTCAGGCTGCCAAAGTCCCAGTCATCCTGTGAAACCCACCTTTACCCATCCATGTGCTGAGAGAATCTTAGTCACCACCTACTCTTGCCCAAAGAATATTTTGTGAATACTTCTATTATAATTCTGACTACAGGGCAGCCCAGGTGGCTCACCGATTTAGCACTGCCTTCAGCCCAGGGTGTGATCCTGGGACCGGGACCAAGTCCCACATCAGGCTCCCTGCATGGAGCCTGCTTCTCCTTCTGCCTGTGTCTCTGCCTCTCTCTCAATCTCTCTCTCTCTCTCTCTCTCTCTCTCTGTGTCTCATGAATAAATAAATAATCTTAAAAAAAATACTACATCCTCGTGTAAGTTTTTGTTTACATGTTTTTCTACTAGGCTCTAAATTCCTTCAAGAAAGAGACAACCTCTGATTCATTTTTATGTCACCATAATCTAAGTACTGGGCAGGTAATAAACACTCAGCACATGATGAATGAATTATTATACATTAGCCAGGAGCTCCTTTTGGTCTTGTCATTATTTTACTCATCTTTTCCAGTCTTCTATGGTATAGGTGTCTCTTGAGTCTCCATCCACTGCCATCCTCCATTACCTCCTTTTCTCTCCCTCTGTCTCACACCCCTTTGGAAGTCTCTAAAGTCTTCTAATGCCATGGCTGCAATCATTTCCTTCACTACAGATATTTCTAAAATTCAGCCATAATCAGTAACTGTTTACTGAGCATGAAGGATCTACAAAAGAATCCAGAGGACTTGAGAATTTGAAGGGTCTTGAATGTTGGAGAAAAGAGAGAGAAGGAATCAAGTATCTTCAAGAAACTGATCCTGTGTACCTTAGAGAATGAGGAAGCATTATTAAATGGCTAAGTATGAAGGAGGAATTGGTATGAGGAGAAAAATAAAGATTTTTTGTCTTAGCCATATGCTATTACATTCGAGCAAAACTATAAATGCTATAAATGGAGATACAGAATTTTATTCATTTTGAATGTCTCTCCTTCCCCTCCCCGCAAAAATATAGTTTTTGCCTTCATGAGACTTATTGAGGTAACCGACATAAATCAAAGAATTATTTAAATAAATATAAAATTGCAATTTATAATAAATATTGCAAAGAGGTACATATTGCTATGAAATGTATATAGCAGGAGGAATTGACCTGCTCAAGGAAGTTAGCACTGATTCCTGAAGAAAGAAGTTGACTAGGGGTGGGAGGGAACAGGTTCTAAGCAAAGGAATAGTATGTGTAAAAGCCTATAGCACAGAGACAGAAAGCAGATTAGTGATTGCCAAGAGGGAAGGAGGAGAGGGAGTGCCTGTATAATGGGCATAGAGTTTCTTTTGAGGTGATGAAAATGTTCTGAGATGAAATACTGATGATGATTGCACAACTGTATGAATACATTGAAATACACTGAATTGTATACTTTGAAAGAGTGAATGTTATGGTATGTGAATTACATCTCAGTATTAAAAAGAGAAAGAGATTACAATAAGGATAAAGATGAGCACAAGTTAAATGCCACCAATATCATAAATCCTACATCAAAGGGGTCACGGCACCTTCAAGAAACTAAAAGAAGGTCAGCCTGGCCAAAACACAGTGAAAGTAAGCATGATGCAAGAGGAGGCTACAAAATACCAAGAATGATGAAGGAGCTATACTTAGAGAAATAATTGTAAGGCATGAGACTATGATCATGATCAAAGAGTAAGAGTATAGAGACAGATCAAGAGGTCGCACGTTGATCCTCTCCCCAAGTCCACGCTGAGGAGCCTAAAGACAGAAATGGAACGTGTAAAAGGCATCAGACAGCGAGGCCACAGGGGAGGAAAAGCAGCAGCACAACAGACTTGCACACATGCCAAGAGAAGAGACAATTCCTCAGAGCAGATGATGGTCAGGAATACTGATCACGGGATCCCTGGGTGGCGCAGCAGTTTGGCGCCTGCCTTTGGCCCAGGGCGCGATCCTGGAGACCCGGGATCGAATCCCACATCGGGCTCCCGGTGCATGGAGCCTGCTTCTCCCTCTGCCTGTGTCTCTGCCTCTCTCTCTCTCTCTCTGTGACTATCATAAATAAATAAAAAAATATATCTTTAAAAAAAAAAAAAAAAGGAATACTGATCACTGCAAAGGAGCGAGAGGATGGAAATCGAGAGTAGTCCTCTTGAGTCTGGACACGAGTGACCAACGACATAGCCATGTGAGAGTGGGTGTGGAAGGAGCCAGATGGTGGAGGAAGAAGAAGAGGATGTGTCAGGAAGACATGGAGGCATACCGGATTTGTCAGTGAAAGGAGGAGGAAAAAGGGGACTGCAGCTTAAGGAGAGTGGGGTCAGAGGGAGCCCTTTTTCAAAGTAGGAGAGACCTGAGCCTGTCTGAGAAAGAGAAAGTTGAGGAAAGGAAAAAGGAATCCATTTAAGATGTGAGGGAGAGGGGTGCCTGGGTGGCTCAGTGGTTGAGCATCTGCCCTTGGCTCAGGTCATGATCCCAGGGTCCTGGGCTCAAGTCCCATATCAAGTCCCTGTGTCTCTGTGTCTCTCATGAATAAATAAATAAAATCTTTTAAAAAAATAAAATAAAATGTGAGGGAGAAAAGAATTCACTCAACAAGTCCCCTTGAGGAGATAGGAAACGACAGACTCCAGTCACAGGTGGAAGGCACATTCTTCCTTACTCTGAGGTAAGGACGGAGAGTGAGAACATTTTTCTTTTAAGATTTTATTTATTTATTCATGAGAAACACACACACAGAAGCAGAGACATAGGCAGAGGGGGAAGCAGGCTCCCTGCAGGGAGCCGAATGTGGGACCTGATCTCGACCCCAGGATCATGACCTGAGCCAAAGGCAGCCGCTCAACCACTGAGCCACCCAGGCATCCTAATAGCACTTTTTTTTTAGGGAGTGGAGCTTGGATGGGGTGGGCAGTATTGGCCTCTGTCTTCTCAGGAATATTAAGAGCTACCGGGATCCCTGGGTGGCACAGTGGTTTAGCGCCTGCCTTTGGCCCAGGGCGCAATCCTGGAGACCCGGGATCAAATCCCACGTCGGGCTCCCGGTGCATGGAGCCTGCTTCTCCCTCTGTCTCTGCCTCTCTCTCTCTCTGTGTGTGACTATCATAAATAAATGAAAAAAAAAATAAGAGCTACCATTTATTAGGCAGTCACCATTGCACTGGCCTAAACAAATTTTATATGTTTTTTTTTTACTTTTTTTTTTAAATTTTTATTTATTTATGATAGTCACACACAGAGAGAGAGAGAGAGAGAGAGGCAGAGACACAGGCAGAGGGAGAAGCAGGCTCCATGCACCGGGAGCCCGATGTGGGATTCGATCCCGGGTCTCCAGGATCGCGCCCTGGGCCAAAGGCAGGCGCTAAACCGCTGCGCCACCCAGGGATCCCCAAACTTTATATGTTAATGCGTATCATCCTCACAGCGACTTCATAAGGTGGGTTCTGTTGTTATCCTCTCTTCCAGGTGCAGAAAAAGTCACCGAGGAGTGAAGTAACTTTAACAACATGACTAAGATAATAAATAGCAGAGCTTGTATTTCTTCCCATGAGGTGTGGAGGAGGAGGGGAGTTCGCCAAGATTAAAAGAGGAAGCGGTGAGGAAGGAAGGAAAAAGGGAAATTGGGGACTTGAAGAATATAAGAAAGTTTACAAGAGCCAGGGTGAAAAATTTGCTACTGAGGGCGCTGTTAAAGTCAGACTTCTGAGCAGTAGGTGCTTATTTTCTCCTGCAAAACAGAACCTTACCCCTTGAAGATTCCACAACCAAGATTTGTGTAATTCCTCACTCAGTTGTGGGTGATTCAGCCTCTCCTTTGGAGTTCCTGGGCCCTGCGTCTGCCCTTGGGACAGGAGTCTCCCAGTAAAGCTGAAGATGGCAGGAAACTGTCCTGTCAGAGCTGGGGCCTGAAGCCACCCCCACACCTGGGTGGTTTTCCTGAATCCCGGAAAGTGCACATTTTATATCGCCATTAGAATGGGGGTCTCCGTAGGCCCTGTCTTTCAGGGAAGATTTTCTAATTTAAAGTGAGTCAAACAGAAAAAGAGAATTTCTTGCTGAGATTCTTCCTGTAGCCCTTATCATAGGTAACTAAACCTGCTTTTTCAAAACCAAATCTGAATTTGCTAAAAACTTTTTATATGTTCCATAATTATTTACATCACCAAGGAAACAGGAGTCTTTACAAGAAGCCAAACTGTCTCTATTCTCTTCCTCAAATGTCAGTGGTGTGTTGGCAAAGATTCTCACAGCAGTGAGAACAGAAAAGCAGCAACACGAAAAAGCCAAAAAACCTCCTCATATAGAGACATCAATCAAAAAATGCCACAACCCAAATTTTATTTCACAGAAAGGCGAACTGGATTCAAAAGAGTTTCCGGGCAAATTTGCATTGTTGCCGTTACTTCCTCCAGCAACGTGCGTAAGTATTTTTTCACACCCAAACGCTGTGAAGAGCCAGCGACTTCTTCATAATAATTCTCCTGAGGTATGGGCCTTCCCACCGTTCAAGACTGCAGGTCACTGCACGGGCTGAGCAAGCTTGCTGAGGTCTCACAGCTGGAAAGGATCAACCCGGCACAAGCACACCACAAGGCCGGCAGCCTGGATGTTCAGCCGCACGACCGACCGGTTGGGACTCCCGCTCAGATAGCACGACGTGGACGGCCGTGGACGGCCGCTGTTCCCGAGCCGCGAACGAGGAGCAAACAGAGCACAGGATGGAACCGGGTGTGAGGATGTGTCATGTGAGTCCGCCCACGGACAACTCTGGGAACTGTTCCTGAAATGGGAGGAGGCTGTCATCACCTCTCCCTCGGTAGCACCGTGTGCCACGGAAATCATTTTCGTTTTGGAAGTGCCTTTTGATACGCTGTCTCCCTCCCCCCGTTCCCCTCCTCCCCGCTCTGGGAGCTGCCTGGAGGCTCACCTCTGCGTTTGCTGGCGGGGGAAGGAGTGGAGACGCTGTACGAGCCCCCGGGGGCGGGCGGCCCCCTCAGCCCCGCCGCAGCTCTGGGGCGGCCGTGCTCCCCGGCTCCTCCCGGTGGACGCGGAGCGAAGACTAACCTCGGCGCGAGGCGGGAAGCGCTAAACCGCGGGCCGCAGGGACTCCCGCGGGTCGGGTCCAAGGGGCTCATGGGTACGTCCGGACCAACTCCGTTCTTTGCGGACCGACGTAAGGCTGACGAATGGCAACGTCTGGTCCTTTGCTGGGACAGGAAGCCACAGTCTCTCTAACTGTACCTCGTGAAGGCTCAGGTCAGGAAAGATCGCCAGTGCCTGACACTAAAGCTGACACGGTTTAGACCGTCAAGACCACTCCATTAACCACTCACCATTGTTATCCAGCCGCAGTCCTCGGGGCTCCTCCCCTAGCCCCCCTAGCTTGAAATGGAAGAAGGCAGTGTTCTAAGTACTAATTGTTTCTAATCAGAGATAGATGTTATGCATCCTCACAGACTGAGGATGACTTGTGATCATGCCGTTCAAACTTATGTTCGCTTCATGTCTTTTCCAGAAGATTCTATATTGTCCTGAAGACTGAGACATACAGATTACAAAAGGCTGTCTTTCCCCTGTTACTTTTGCTGCCGGACAGGCCAAAACTCTCTTTTTGAGTGTTGACATCATATTGAATTCCCTCTTAATTTTCCCTATTAACTACATAGATTTTGACTTTACATTTCTACCAGAAATCAGCTCTTCTTTTCTCTGTTACTTTGTTCTACTGTCCTGTTGGTTTAGAGTGATTTCACTACAATTATATGGAAAGCTACTCCATCGTTGCTACTCCATCGTTTATTTCTGTAGAAGTTTCATGTTCATGACCCTAACACACATATACACACACTCAGAATTTACATGGAGTCCAGATGTTCTGGGCCCAAGCAGACTTACTCTAAATGGGTATGCAGAGTCTGAATCCGTAGCTCTTGGGGAATTTGGCCCTAGAATGAATACCTGCTTACCTGAATGGAGAGCAAAGCTGTGAGTTGTAAAGATGCAAGGTGGACCATTGTCCTAGAGCCAAAAACAAGGCCAACTGAGAAGAGAGACTTCATGTCAACCCCAGTGATCCACTAGTGGTTCAAAGTTCTCATTAACATTTCTTGCTGACTTGGGAGATAGTGAAATTCTGAAAACATACCAATAGCACCCTTCTTGACGATCAGAATGAGGGATTGGAAGCTTGTGTGTAAGGAAACCAACTTGGTCCTAATTGCAATACTTGTGTTGTAATTTGCGATATGCAAAACATTTTATGAGGGCTGATCTGATCTTTGCAGCATTCTAGTGAAAAGGCCAGAGAAAGTGTTCTTGAGTCGAGAGTGTCCACAAAAGAGGACACAAAGCAGAATGAGTGGAAAAATTCAAGAAAGAAAGAGATAAAGTGAACTGTCTTCAGAGAGCTATTGACATCTCCACCTTGGTGATACAGGGGACCCTCTGCCTATATGGGGGTACAAGAGTGCAGCAAAGAAAGCCTCTTGGTTTGGCTAATCTCCCCAGTTCTGAACTCCCAGGCATTTTGCAGAAGAAACCCGGGAAGTTAGCCCATAGCTCTTTCCAGAGCTGGGGACCATGGAAACACTGGGCTTTATCATTGATTAGAACTGCAAGCTTCCTTCCTTATTTCCTAAGCATATTTCATGGGTCACTATAAAATGTTACCCCGGAATTCAGATTAATATTGTTATGAGCAGAACTCTGCCCTTCTGCCTTTCCCTCCCGCCCTCACATTCCCAATTTTTTTGTGCTTCCGCTGCTGTTGCTGTTTGCCTTTTTTTCCTCCCTCAGCATCACTCACTTCCGCTCCCTCTTCTGCATGAGTCTTTCTCTCCCCACTCCTCCTCCTCACTGTTTTCCTCCTGTGCTCCTGGAGGAACCAAACAGCTCCACTGTAAGGACTCAGAAACCCAAGGAAGAGCCTGTGGCTCACTGACCTGGTGAGTGGAAGACATCACAGGATAGCACACTGATATCCTAAGGCCAATCAACCTGGGTTGGGCTGGAGTTCCCCTACTGTCCTATTGGCAGCAACTCCAGGGAGTCCAGATGGTTCTAGAAAAATCTCTGGTCCTGTGATAGAAAGGCAGGATTAGTTTTAAACCCCCAGAAACGTAGAATTGGAATCAGGTTGAATCTGGGACCCCCTGACAGATTGAACATAACCTAAATCTACAGGGTGTCCAATGTGGCCTCACTCAAGGGTCAGGAGACCCCAGGATAATGCTGGTGGGAGGAAAGTCAGTGCTGGAACCGAAGACTGGGAGGGACATAGGCCACTTCTGGATGGTAGGAATGGGAAAAGCCCCGAAACTTCCTGTCAGAAAGGAATACGGTTCAGGATAAGTTCCTCTACTCCCAGGGACCTCAGGAAGAGACCGTGCTGGGCTGAACACATCTTCTGCATACTTCTACTCTTGCTTGGTGCCAAATTGCTGTCCTGAGGCCATTACAACAGAGATGAGCACATGCACACATCTCCTTGTAGAGAAAGATGCCCTTTCTGGCATTGGGAACCAATTATATTCTCATTTAGCATTTATTTTAAAGTATTATAAAAGGTAACACTGTGGCCTTATGGAGTCCATTTTCCACTTCCTCACCCCAACCGAGTGGTTGCAGCTAAAAAAAGGGATTGCAGCAGTGAATGGCCAGGACTGAGGGCCATGAGCCCCACCTGAGTCGTGTGAATCACCAGCCTTGAGGTTGGAACAGAGGAACTGCCAGAACAGCTTAGACAAGAGAATCTAAAAGACAAACAGGGAGAAGGCTTTTTTCTTTAACCCAACTAAAAATGACAGTAGAAGTATCTGGGATCCCTAAAGGCAAACAACATGGTCAGGCCATGGGCAAATAGCAATTATCCTGACACCAGTACCTTCTAGAGCAAATAAACTGCAGTCGGGATTAGAATAATCCAGTAGAGAGATCTGATTCTTCATCCATGAAATGACTCTAAGAATTTGGCTGGAGAACATGGTAGAGACAGAACAATCTCAGAATCACAGAGCTAAGAAGGAACCTAAAGATCATCAAGAGTGCTTTTTATTTACAGGACTAGGATATACTGGGGTAGAAGGGCTACAGACAGGGTATTTCAAGTCAGAGAGGTTACAGGGGTCAGTAAAGGAAGTCGTGATCCTGACAACCCCAGCAAAAGGCAAAGCAAGCTTCTGGCTTCTGCAAGATTAGGAACCTGAAGTCAAGGCAATCCATTCACTGAAGATCTAGAAAAGGAAGGGTGCCTGGGTGGCTCAGTCAGTTAAGTGTCTGCCTTCTGCTCAGGTTATGATCCCAGGGTCCTGGAATCAAGCCACACATCAGGCTTCCTGCTCAGCTGGGAGACTGCTTCTCCCTCTCGCTCTGCCTAGTGTTTCCCCCTTCTTGTGAGCTCGCTCTCTCACTCTCTCTCTCTGTGTCTTATTTGACAGGTATTAATATTTAATAATATCTTTTTTTAAAAATCCAGATAAGGGGCACCTGGATGGCTCAGTTGGATAAGCATCCAACTCTTGAACTCAGCTCAGGTCTTGATCTGGGGGTCTTGGGTTCAAGTCCCATATTGGGCTCCATGCTGGGCACTCACAGCTGGGTCAGTCTTCCTGGGGCTTTTGTGTGCTCAGGGAAAGCTCTGGCCATGGAGAAAGGCCAACAGTTTGAACATAGATAAGAGCTAGAACAAGATCTAAATGAGAATAGGCTCTCTCTCTCTCTCTTTCTCTCTCAGACCTTTTTTATTTTATTTTATTTTATTTTATTTTATTTTATTTTATTTTATTTTATTTTATTTTTTGGATCAGACCTTTTTTAATTCAGAATAATCCTCTCTGTGTATTCCTATGTGTATACTTCTGCCTTTTGACCATATAGCATTTGCTTTAAAATAATAATTCTGGGACACCTGGGTGGCTCAGTGGTTAAGCGGCCCCTCGGCCCAGGGCGTGATCCTGGAGTCCTGGGATCAAGTCCCATGTCGGGCTCCCTGCTTCTCCCTCTGCCTGTGTCTCTGCTTCTCTCTCTTTGTGTCTCTCATGAATAAATAAATAAAAAAAAATAAAAATAAAAAAACAATGATTCTCAAGGGGGTAGAGGGTGAGGAGAAGGCAGAGCAGATTCCTTGGGTAGACCAGAAATTAACAGGTAGTGGGCATTCACAGTTTATAAGATTACTCAGCTGACTGTGATATGTTCCTCCCTCCACCTCTTTGAGAACCACCGCACAAGAAGTCACCGAGAGAAGAAAAGAAAGAAAGCTGCTTTGTGGGGGGTCAGTGTGCCTTCTGTTGGCCCACTCAGAGCGGTAGCAAAGGGAATGTAGTTTAAATTTATGATCATATCAATGGTGCATCCAATCTGGAATTATCTCAAACTCTTTTTTCATGCTGCTGTAACAGAATATCATAGACAGTGTGCACCATAAACAACAGAAATTTATTTCTCACAGTTTTAGAGGCTGAGGGTCCATGGTCAAGGCACCAACAGATTTAGTGTCTGGTGAGCACTCACTTCCCGGTTCATAGAGAGTCATCTTCTTACTGTGTTCTCATATGCTGGAAGGATCAAGGGAGCTCCCTGGAGTCCCTTTTATAGGCACACTAATTCCATTTATAAGGGTTCCAGCCTCATGACCAAATCACTTCCCAAAGGTTGTGAATTACATTTCAACATAGGAATTTTGAGGAAATACGATCACCCTTTCAATCAATCTCAAAACCATTTTAGCATCATCCCCAGGAATTCCATGTTATTTGAGATATGGGTACCTTACAGGGAGATAGTATGATCCAAACTAAATTTTCTCTCCTCTAAAATTAGAAGGATTTGTTGTTGTTGTTGATTTTGTTTTGTTTTGTTTTGTTTTTACTTTTTAAAACCAGAACGTTTATTTTGACTAATCGTTGAAATCCTTAAGATAAATTGGATGCTGCAACAGCTGCCCTCTTGGGCTTAGGTGTCATTCCTTCACGGCATCCATGCCTGAATCTGCGGTACACAATTTTTAGGTGCCTCATTCGACCGGTCCCAGTGGTATTCCGTCTTTTAGCCTTGGCACTCCAGTTATACTTTCTCTTCCGCTTGGCAGGGTAGCCACAGTTGCCGCAGGTGGACTTCTGAAGGTGGTAGGCCTTAGAGCCACAGCGGAGGCACAACGTGTGCGTCTTATAGCGACGCTTTCCGAACGACGACGTCCCCTTCATCATCTTGTTTCCGCGGCAGACCCCCTAGAAGGATTATTATATTTTTTTTAAAAAAAAGTAGTAGATTTGTCCTTGATTCATTAGTTCAGGTAGCCAACAAGTATTTGTTCAAGACTCTACTAGTTCTCTATTTCTGCTACAACAAATCACCAGAAATTTAGTGGTTTAAAACAACATACTTTTGGGGCACCTGGCTGGATCAGTCAGTAGAGTGTGTGACCCTTGATCTCAGGGTTGTGAGTTTGAGCCCCACAATGGGTATGGAAATTACCTTAAAATAAATAAATGAATAAACTC